CCCACTGGTGGTGTCGTTTCCGTGGAGCCTTTTCTGACGTGCTGTAATGGCATCGCGCTGTCTGCCTCCCAGTTGAGTCTGCACATTGAATTTCTTGACTTGCATCTATGATGCAAAATGCACTCCGACCGTTCAAGGGAAGAAGATAGTTGCTAGTTTGGAGCCTTGTACGAATTTCGAGCTCTTTGTTGTTATTGCAAAAGAATCCGCGTTTCCCCGCCTGCCTGCCAATAGTATGAACAGACAATTCAAAGGAGGGCGACAGGTATTCGAAAAGCGAACTAGTTAGATCAAGCTCAACCGAGAAAGTACTTGAAATTATGTAAAGATCAACGAATACTCAAATTAACGAATAAAATGCTACGTACCACACTTAACTAGGTCTTCGTTGCAACTCCTCAGCATAAAAACGGAAAGCTGGTCGGTAATCAACTCTGCCTCCTCGGTGGTATCCAGCAGATAAACAGTAGGTTTTGGTGTTCCGGTGAACCACGAATCAAGCAGCTGGTCGTAATACTCACGATCTTCAAGTCACAAGTGCAAGTAAACACATTATGCACACACAAATAAATTATGTAAACAAATACTAATTTCAGTAACTTAATTTTTTATTTAATGTGAAAAAAGCAAACCCCTTGGAGGCGTAGGCGTCAGGAGCATCAACATGGCGGTGACTGCTTGGGCGTCAAGAGTAGCGCACATATTTTCACCCCACTGAACAAGAAACTTGTCTTGACTGGCAGACTGAAAAAAAACTTTTGCCAGTGTCATAAATCGCTTATTGCTGTTAATATAATAGTTTCTTAGTTTTAGTCAAGGGCAATGGAAAGAACGACAATTATCAGAATAAAAAAGTCTTTTTTGTCGCCGTCTAGAGCGCTAATTCCTTCAATGGTAAAGGTGCGGTTTTTACTGGATTATATCTAAGTTTACTTCTATACCTGAGCCTCAGCCCCGCATGGCTAAGTTTACGCCGTGGCTTTGATGTAGGCTAAAACGTAGGGAGTGATGCAGCAAATACCACACATTACCAATCTGGACTGAAAAGCAAATTAGTTCTAGCCTATAACGGTATGTACGGTTTAACATTTATGAAAGTAACATAAAATAAATTCGTAGTAGCTAAAAACATGACGTTGTTTCAGTTATATAAGAACATGTTATGTAAGCAGCGAACTGAAAAGCTTAAGCTGTCAGTTATGCCTTACCTAATCTGGACCCTTAAGGCAACGGACACGCTGAAAAGGATGTATTCTATCGCTGTCTTGCGCTTACCTTCTGAAAACTTGCTGAAAGGTCGGCAGTCAGTAACTCGATAACTTTTATACATAGCGGAAAGGTTGACTTTACTTGCCTTCTTGACATATTGGCAGCAGAATGATCAGGTCACCGCAACAAATATTTTATCATCTAAGATGGCAATCCGTTTTTACCGCTTATGAACAGAAATTAATTTGCAATCAAGTTCGTAGCAGTATCGGCTGTGATTATTTAGACGCTCGGTGGAAACCAGAAATTTTTCTCTTTGTCCACATAACAGACTAATCTAAAACCTGTGCCCTGACTGTTCAAAAGCTTAGTTTTTCGATCCTAAGCAGTGACTTAGGCGGCGAGTTATTTGTTTCGATGATAATAAACTTGAATTTTAGGTAATAGAGGTATAAACGGACAAAAATCAGGAATATCGACTCGGAAACATGTAAATGGACATACTACTTATATGACGTGATAAACAAGAGAAAGAGTGAACATATAAAGCCGGAAAAATTTATTGTTTGCAAAATAGCTAAAGAAGG